AACAACCACAGGGCTAACACAGACAGGCAGCTCTTCATCTGGTGCCACTGATTCTGGGCTATGGGAAACAGAAAACCATCATCTTTACAGTTTGCCAAGTAGGGGTCCCAGAAAGGGAATGACAGTGTTCACTCACTGCTCTTCAATTTGTGAGCACTGGCAGCATTGCTCATCACCCAGCACTGAGTTAGTACAGACACAACTATGTTCTTTTACATGGCTTCTTCCCCCATTCAGCCGCTCCTCTGCTTTAACTTTAACTTAGAAAACAATAGAAAAACTGCTTTATCTTCACCATATATACTGTATGTGCTTCCTAGTTGCTCCCTGAATGTATTTCAATATATTTTAAAATTGTTAGTATTGCCAAACTCCATTTTTCCAGTGTTATGTCAGAGTCAATTTTTTATCCAGCCAATGGTGAAGATTTCAAGTGTTTTGTTCACCAAAAAAAAAAAAATTATCACCGACCGTGTTGGTTTTCATGCTCTTTATAAAGCATTGGACATACTAATGTGTTTGAGATGCAAAGAGTAGAGGAGGCTTGTCCGTCTTTGGTCCAGTTCTGCATGCAGTGTAATTAAACCTGGCCCTTACTATTTTCTACGGACTATTTTCCATTCATGGTTGGAAGCGGACTGTATGGGCAAGTAGCAGATGTTTCCTTTTAGTTCTCCATATGACTGTGTGGATGCCCAATATGTGAAAATGATTTTCTGGCAAGAGGTGTTATGAGGAACTGTGGCCCCTTTTGCACTCTTCACATTTCATTCAGATTTCCCGGGGCTCTCTTTTTATCCCCAAGATCATTATTCAGTCTCTTGGTAGAATGCAACTATAGCATATGGGTTAACCATGGCAACAAATGTCTCAAGCGTGCTCTAGTGAGAGGGGAGTTCATCTAGCTTTTCTGCACTTCCCTTGCAAATTAAGCACTATTTGGTATTCTTATTTTCCTTGCCCTACACTACTGTGAGACGTGGCTATGCTCTGACGTATTTTACATCCAAGCAATAAGTGGAGCAGCTTATGTTCACACTCACACAAAGGTATTGCTGACAACCATACACCAAACCTGGATGCAATGAAGAGAAACACTGGCTCAGGAGAAGTACCATTAGAAGGAGCTTCCTCATAACTTTCAGGTGCACATATGAGTCTGAGAAACAGCACCATTCAGCTCGCTCTGCCCAGCGCTCTGGGGAAAGCAACGTCACAGAAAGCCCTGCAAGAACAGGGGTGACAAGAGTGCTAAGTCACAGCAGAAGCACAATGCACATGTGACCGCAGAAGACTTCTCCCAGAGTGGGGCAACGTGGCCTGCCTGGTCCAGCCCACAGCCTGTAAAATGCTCTGGTGTCTTCTGGCATGAAAACCTGTGTATAAAAGCAAGTCATTATCGCTTGTTCTGAGCATGCAGAGAATTAGTCCAGTTAGCAGGAACTTCTGGGAGGCTCTTTAAGAAAGTGAGCCCACTACAGTGTTTTTAAATAAACATCTTTCTGGGATTGTTTTTTGGCCCCATTTCATTAAAAAGTTAAATCCAGAAGGAAGTACTGCATTTTTTTTTCCCCAGGCATTTACAGGTGTTCATAGCACACCTGCTCCGTACCACTCCTTTTTTACACTGTGGGAGGGTGGTATGCGCTGTTGTCCCAGATAGGTGACTTTTTTAATAGCAGCACAGCACTGACTGAGCATGTTCAGGTGTAACTGCCCTTCATCCGTCAGGTCAAGTTGTGAAATACTGAGACAGAGAGAGACATGGACTTTCACTGGCAACTATTCTTCAACAGTTTCTGCTGCTAAAAGGAAAAGTTCTTGTGAATCTTTCTGCTGAAGCTTTCAGGACATCTTAGGCCACATGTGCTATTAATTTATCTCCATAATAATGGTTTCATATGCTATCTGGAGGTAGGAGGAAGATATATGATGCTATCTTTGCACTTCCTCATCCTTTCTGTGATTGGTAAAATCATGAAAAGATTAAAAGAAAAAAGATTATTAGCAAGTCCAAAAGATTACTAACTCTTGAAATGCAGTTTTGATTCTGACCTTGATAGTAAGTGCAAAACAAATGACACAAAAAGTATCTTTTATCCTATTGCCAAAAGAAGAAAAACAAACCCAAGAGAGACAAAAAAGTAGTAAGTGCTTCAGCATTCAGCTGCAATGCAAGATTAAAGCTTCTGACTTAATTTAGCTTCACTAAAACCCCTTAGGTGGTGACAGCTGTGTGTAACGGGAACTGGTTAAGCTTCCCATCTAGGTTACGGTATTGAGCCCATTCAAGTATTCCCTGCAGTTCTGACCACAGACAGTACTTAGTTGCTGTTGTATGTTTATCTGTTGTACGTTTCAACCAGTCCACACTCCAACAGAAACTGGGAGAACTGGCAAAAAGCTTTAGAATCACTACGACAAAGGAGACCAGATATTGTCATGCCCTTGCTTTTGGTTACTCCATAGCATTCTGGGAGCAACAGTTTAGCTGAATTGCTTCATTTTCCCTTGATAGACAAGCTGACTGTGCCACAGCAAAATTCCCATGCCCAAGGAGGGTGATAAATATGCAAGAGGCTGAGCGCTCACTTAATTACCTTATCCTCCTGCTACCACTAGTGATGCTTTGTTCAACTTTGAAGCAAGGGAACTGCCACGTAAATAACACAAACTGAATTGTTCAGCCCAGGAATATGATGTGTTGACTGTATGAGGTCTGAAGCTGTATTTATCACCAGTTCTGGTGATTTCTACTCAAATCTAGTGAATCTACAGCAGCTGGCAGCAAGTTTTTGTAAATGAGGCACTAAAGATAGCTCTTCCCATCTTTTTTGGAGTTTAAGCCACTAGGTCATATGAAATATCCCAAAACTGTTTTTAATTTTAGCAAAGAAGGTGTTGTCATGCATTTTACTGTTTAACCCAAATTTCCCCTTCATTCATTTGAAGAAAAACCTAAATATTAGGCTTATGAGCTGCCAAAAGCAGCGTCGCCTACATTGAGATTTCCGTAAACATGTTTTGACCTTATACTGTCCTTGTTGCAACGTTATGCTTCATGCATTAAATTGCTTTGTGAGACCTGAATATTTACAGCACAGATCCGTTACATTCTAGCGCTTCCGGCAGACTCCACTCCAATAATTTAGGCACTGAAGGTAGGAGGTAGAATTAAATGAAGCCTATTCAAAAGTTTTCCACGCTATTTTTCATTATTTTAAGTCTACTTGGATTTACGTACTCTTTTGTGGTCATTTTGTCTTTTCCGTTATTAAGCTCACTTATTAAGTAATACATTTTAGCATTAGGCGTTTTTCAAGCTAAAACATGAACACATGAAAAGTGAAGAACTTCAGTTCTGAATTTACTTATAGCCCCTCTCCCTGCATTCTTAGATCATTATATAGTTCTAAGTCTGTTCCATGATCAAAGCAACTATCATTTAACAACTGAATTGACTGTGACTACCTGCAAACAAGATTAGATATGTGACATTATGTATTTTTAACACTGTTACAAAAAAAATTGAGAACTGCACAGCAAATGAGACCCAACTACGAGTTTACACAGAGAAAAGGTCAGAGCCTTCTTAGCAGAAACCATAAACATTTTAAAAGTTTTCTAAAATCATAAAAAAACACCTCTGAGAACTACCAAAAAAAGGTGCAAGGGGTTGATGAACTTTACTTAATTTTTCTACAGCAACAATATTATTACTTACTATTATTATATTAGTAAATAAGCACACACCACTACACTGGCTCCAGAGCACTCCTGACAACAATACACAGTTCAGTACAACTGGTGATCACAGTTCATGGTCATTGGAGTACAGAGACAGAAACAAAGTTCTGCCTGCCAGTAAGGCACACTAGCAGGTCAGTGCAACAGAATCTTCCACAAAATCAGCTCAGTAGCGCTTGGACTTTCCACCCATACCAAAGCAGAGCCCCAGTGGCACTGAAGTCCCTTTGGATGTGTCACTGAAGACAATGAATGCACCACTGAAGCCCAGAGTTAACAAACTTCTGCCAACACTGCAGCACTTTCATAAGATATACTCATAAAAATACTGACAAACACTGTGGACTAATTAAGGGTGAAAGGTTTTTGTACTCTTCTGTGATTTGTAACCAAATCTTATACATTTTAATACATTTTTTTTCTGTTTACTGCAACACTGTATAATACACAGGTTTTATATGGCATCTATGCTTAACAAAAGGCTGAGTTAAGCTCAAACCAGAAAGTACTTTTCTATGACAAGTATATACAAAGCATGCAGCTTGCTACTACGGCAATTATTTCTGCTACAATTTTTCAAAGGGTGTAGACATATATGCTGAAGATCAGGAATAACCAAAATTGTAATGGAAAAAAAAATTAGAAAAAAGGAAGAAATAAAAGAATGAGGAGAAAGAATGAACTAGAGATGAGAACTGGAAAAGAAGTGATGGATAGGAAAGCCAGAAAAAACTATGAGGGAAAGGAAAAAAAAAGAATGGTGGGTTAAGAAGCAAAAATGATGGGAAATGAAGAGACAGACTGGCTGCCAAAGAAGATAAGATCAAAGAAGAAGTATAGAAAGAAGAAATTTAAAGAAGGTAAAAGACACGTCAGGAAACCCCAGAGACAGGATTTTTGGAAATGCTTCATTTGCTCAGATATGCTGCCACTGAACTTGATACAAAAGAATTAGGTCAAGATGGATCACTTAGGGGAAAATAAAAAAACAAAACATAGTGAGATTTTTGTCAAAGAACTGTAGTTTTGCCCACCTTTAAGTATGTATGTAAACATACACTTATGCATATATTACTTCCTGATTGGTGAGGAGTTACTTAATAGCACCATGTAGGGGGGTTTTTTTGTTGTTTTTTACGAAACCAAATGCTGCAAACAAGGTGTAAGAGATCCCTCCCCACCAATGCCAGTGACCTAATTAGTCCCTCTTTCCTCAGGTGGTGCTGATGGATCTTTCAAGGTGATTTACCTACCAGCTGTGTAATTCTGCAAAAGCAGCTTTGATCTTCTTTACTGAATTATCCACTTCCTCTTTGATCATCATACGATATCTGGTTAGAGAAACAGTACAACGCTGCAAGTCTTTTACTGATTTTTCAATGTTCGGCCCTAAAACAGAAAACAAAAATTGCACAGAAGTCAGAAAGCTTCTTTTTGGCTTTTCTGAATGAGGGCGCAGGAATAGTTTAACATGTTATGTGCCCAAATTAGGATGAAGTGGTTACCCTACTGAGGTCCATAAAGCCAACTCTTCCATAGTCCTTCTGTGGTGCTCTTCAGTTTCTAAACATGTTTGCTCAAATTGATTCCCCAAAGTAATGTCAGAACAGCGCTATTAATTCAAATTAGTTATTTTAAATTTAATTTAATACAATGTTAAATAGACCATAAATTGTTCTACTCATTTTTGTTGTGCTAACATGATTCTGCTCTCACTTTCCAACACAACTCTTCTTCACGTATGTGCTTTTTTTCCCCTAGAGGCTGCCCTCAGCTGTCTGACCACCTCAACGCGTAGCAACCAGGGATCCAACTTACCTCTTTTTTTGACTGAATCATCTGTCTTTGTTTCAAGTTGGTTTGTAGCACTGGATGATTTAACTGAGGAAGATTTTGACTTTGGCCTGCCTAGGTTACACTGGAGTTGAACTGATGACTGAAGAGACTCGTGCTGTTCTACTCCATTCATAGTCTTTGGGTTTAATTCCACAGATACTCTCTGATGTTCTCGTTCTTTGTCTGCAAGAAAACATTATGGTAGAAAACAGGGAGTTACAAGATTAAGAAAGATATGAAGCCTTACTGTTGAGTCTGAATGACTTTATGTTTATACACCAGAAAAAGTGAGGCTTTTTTTCCCCACTGGCACACATTCTACAGAACCTCAGAAAGCAATGATAGAACAGAAATGAAATTGTTTTGGTTATTAAACACTAATCTGAACACATCTATGTTTCAACAGTTTAAAAAGAAAAAAAAATTTAAAAAATCAACTCTTCCATGCTGATACGAAAAAAATACCTCATAACATAGAAAGCATACTACCAATTATAATCTTTGCCCAAATATTATGGAACAGAACTAGAGAGGAAGTCTGCTATGGAAAGCATGAGACTTTAATGTTGAGATATATAGATATATATATCTCACACAAAAAAAACTGTTCATCATTTAATCAGCATTTTAAAAGCACTGATTAAACATTCCTACTTGAAATACTTACCTTGCCTGACTACAGATTTCTATCAAAAGCAGCTGCTAAGAGGGACCAAGCAGTAAATGAAACAATGTCAAAGATTGGGCTCCTGGGTTCAACAGCTTCAGAGGGATAATAATGCCTGAGCCTGTTTTGCTGCCAATAAGATGACCTGGTTTACTCTTTCCAAGACTCCAAAGGGAATCAAGGTATCACCATCATGACAGAGGGACAAGCAGCCAAAGAATGGCTATGAAAACTGACAGGTAAAGCCAGCTACTACTGCCACTGTGAATTTTAGTTAAAGAAACATGCATAGAAAATGGTTATGTTGTGTTAACTCATTTTTCTAATCTTTGTATTCTAACAAATGAATGATTGATACTTTGTTCTGAAGATGCTCTTTAGGCATCGCTTTGTTCAGCTGATGTTGTGTGGTGTCTGGAGAAAAGGGGCTTGTCAAATTAACAGATGGATTATAGCCTATGGAGTGGGATTAACACTGCTGGGACTGGGGGATACCACCTGGACAACTCCAGGATATCAAGTAGTGATTTCCTTGTGCCCTGGCTGGGCACCAGGACGAGTGTAAAATACATCTTGGTATGTTTCCATGGTAATCACATAATGCCAGAGGAACAAGGAGGAACATTAGTGCCCACATTTCTAAATCAGCTTTTGTTTATGGCCTTTAAAAGGTGAGTCTGCAAACAGAAAAAGTATCTTTTATAAAATAGCATGTGAGAAAATAGCTAAAGAAGTTAAAGAAACTTGTGTATCTGTGAAAGCAAGAAACTTCAGGTGTGCAGCAATCTGAACATATCAAAGGTTCAACGCAGATACCAGTCTCACAGCCAGGAACTCTGTTCCAAGATAACTGCCATTAACCTCATGCAACTCTGGCTACATCTCACACCAATGCAGATAGCTTTGATTTATACAGAATGTTCTTTCTACTGTGAGTTGAGGCTGGCTGTGCTAAATAACTCCAACAGATAGTTAGAAACAAGCAGTCTACCAGCTAAGCTATAGAGAAAAGCCAGGGCTCTTGGGTTCTGTCCCCAAGATTAGATCTTGTGAAATTTGTTGTTAAACTGCAAAATTGTTATTTACTGCATTTAATTAGCAGCTTTCATATACTTGTCAAGACAAATGCCAGACTGACAGCTTTTTGCCTTAAGTAAGTAATCTAGAACAATAATATACTCTAAAAACTTTTTAATCATCCTTTGTCTACAATATACTCTGACATTGTTTTTTTCAAAATTACACACTAGCTACTTTGAAACACAGCAGCAAGATGACCAATAGAGCCTAGCAAACAATACCTTAGTATGCTGCAACTGAACTTTCACATTTGATTGAGGACAATCAACACAACTGAAAATAGATTGAGAAAATATGCATCAAATCTCTGAAGACTTGGGCCCGCTAAGAAACATGTGTAACAAAATCTAGAGACAGTCTGTCTCAAATACTTGAAAGAGAAGTCAAAGGTTTAAGTAATAGTACCTACAAGAAAACTGTTACAGAGTTCAGTATGTGGTGGCTTGGAACTTCAGCACTAGGCTAAGTGTGTGACCTCTGCTGTATTAACCATCAAGTATTACCAGACCTGCCAGTAATGGCAGCAGCCCAGATAAACTGGCTTTGAAATCTGCTGAGCTACCATCTTCAAAATGAGTGGTTTATCTTTTTTAACAGCTTGCCATTCAAAACCTTTAAAATATAGTGAACCTCAATGGATTCTTTGGCTGAAAGAAGAAAAAAAGCTCCCTTCAGACATAAACAGAAAGTTTGAAGGATTCACTAAAAATCACCCTACATGAAAAACAATTTTAAGTAGTATGAAAAAGAGATCAGTACCTGATTTGTATCTAGTTTTACCCAAGTCCCTGCAAAAGTAATAGCATGGCAAAGCAGCATTAAATATCCTTTCAGTGTATTCATGCCCCTTCTTTACAAGGGCATGCACAGAAAGGGTAGCTGTAAGTCCTTCAGATCCTGCGTTGCCAAGAACTCTTAAGAAGAAGAGTTTGGAGGGTTTGTTCTGGTCATCATTTTGAAGTAATCTGGTTTATTTGTGGCCTTTTCCCCTTCAAGATATTGAGAGGGAGAGCCCCATAACTGACTCGTAATTAAGTGAAACACACTCTAAGGTCCTCCACGATGAGGCCATTTGGCCTTCCAGGGCCTTGAATTCTGTGCTTCATTTTCTCTAGCAGGTCTTCATTCCCTGTGGGAAACCATCACACGGAAAAGCAACAACTAAAGACTTCTCAGGAAAAGGAAGATGGAATAGTGGCAAGAAACAAGCAGACCTGAACTAAAGGCAATAGCCACATGTTATCCCCTATAATTTCTTACCCTAAGACACATTATGGAGACATACCAGCTACACTGCATCCTCCCTTCTGGTCCCTGAAGTCCCTTCCAGGCAGCCAGGACTTTATGGCTCTGAAAGACCTAATCTCATAGACTGTGAGCTGGTATAAGCAAAGCTTCAACCTCATGTTCCTCATGGGGAGGAAAGCATAAGGGACTGTCAGCAGACACCTGACTATGATCCTTGTGAGCTGTCTGAAGGTGATGGTGAAATGACTACAGTACATTAATTTGATAGGGAAGGAACCAAACCAAACAAGCCAGGCAAGGAAAAAACAAAGGAGATTACAACACAGGGAGCAATATGAAACGGGTGCACTTTGGACTCACTTCAACATTTCAAACGCCTTTAGGACAGTCTGTGTGACTTGCTCAGAAACCACATGGGCGCAGATGCTGGCCCCTAAAGGGATCCTGATCAACCTTCTCTTCTACTTAGTTCCATGCACTTCAGCACAGGTTTAACAATATGTATATAGGTGGCTTTTGACCTTAAGAAAGTAGCTATTATACTAGCTGCAAAGACAAGGGCTCTACTGCAACTGAAAGTGAAGAAGAAACTCTTTCCTTCTCTGTATTAAACAAATTGCTAGGAACTTACTTTACTAGGCAAGGGAAACTTGAATATTAAAGTTTCAGGTTTCCCTTTCTCTCCATTTTCTTTCCTTTCTTTTCCACCTTTTTCTTTTATTTTACCCCTTTCTCCCCTTGTTTTTGAAACAGGGGATACGTGTAATAGTTTATAAAAATTGTAAAGCTACAGTAGTATCTCATTTGTCACTTGTAAAAGCAAAGAAAAATTCTGAGAAACTTTTTGCCCTTGGTATGTACAACTCTATACCCATATCATGTCAAAGAGTTAAAAAAAGGACTCAATCCCAGTGCCACAGAAAAAAATCACTGAGAGCATGAGTACTCTTCTTGCATTCAGGTCTGTTACCCCCTGGAAAACACTCCCCATGCATGGACAACTCAGTCTATGTATCTTTATTCATGCTGGTTTTGTTTCAAAAAAAGCAACTCTAAGAAGTTTGACATGCGAACTTGACATATATTTATACGACAAACATTTACACCTTGCAAAAAAAATGGCAAGAATGCTTTTAGTATTACGGAAATGCAGTATTTTCTGGCTTATGGCATGTTCTATCCAAAGTAAGTGGGAGTCTTTAGCAAGGACAAGAAGAATATCTCTAATCCTTTGCGAGGCACCAAATTCTTAGGACAAAATTTCTTGATAAGTTGTTTGTCTATTTGGCTGCTATAGGTTGCAGAGTTTTCATTTAATTGACCAGAGGTTGACACCACTGAAGTTATCTGGAAGCAGCAGAGAATTAATTTCAGGACAACTATCCATTTGGTGCATTCCTTTAAAATGAGGTTTGAGAGCTGTATTTGCAACCATGGAAAAAGGGATTTCAAGGAAAGTTCTTTTAACACAGTCTTACATACTGCTTAAGACACAGGAAGAAAACACTAACAGCAGTAATCTAGGGCTATCAGTTTGAAATACAAAGAGCTGAAAAACCATTATCAGTACTGACACAATTAAATGCGACCTTTATGAAAGGATACTTGAAGTCAAAAGCTTTCACAGAACGTCTCCCCCAGAGGAGGAGGTTTGTTTTCATTGATGTTGCTATAATCATAACTCTGTATCTACTACGACCCAGTGGGGAAGAGCTTTCTGTGTTACTGTCCCCCAGAGCTTCAGAATCAGTACTTAGACCAAGGCAGAAATGTGGGCATACTAAGAGCAGACTGCCTTCCGTCAACACAAAGGCCCTTCCTTCCCTGTTAGGGAAAGCCAGTGGAGATGTACTGCAACTAGCCTAGTCAGGCAAGATGTGGAAAAGAAAAACGGACTAGTCTGGACTAGGCAAAAAAGAAATCCTGTAGTATGCTGCAAGTTCATACTTCTCAGATGACTTTGCTCCAGATGATGGACTTTATCACCTCTATCACCATTTTACACTCAAGGCATTATCTAACTCCTGCATTCTTCTGTATTTATACCTGTAATATTCTGTATCAGCTGGGCCTCTAATTATAGTTTGATCTTTTTGTCTCAGAAAAAAAAAAAAAAAAAAAAAAAAAAGTGCTGATATTTCAAAAGGAAACATTGCAAGGCAAATTGTGCCCAGAGACAGATCTGTTTGCATGACTTTAATAGCTATATGCATTATTTTGCACACAGACCTCTCTCCAACTTCTTTTTATTATATTCTACTTCACGGCAATAAAAATGCCATGATCTTCATATGTAAGTGGGGGCTTGGCTATCACCAGTTAAAAAGGTGTCTTGTGCCAGATGAACTGACCTGTGATTTCTGGACAGACCAGCGCTGACTCTACAAATCCTGAGCCTTTGTTCTCAAGAGAAGCAGCTTCCAGTTTCTGATTGGCAGAACCACTACAAGAGTTGTCCTTAGAGCATCCATTCAGATGGCAGTCATATATTCCCTGTGGCTCTTGAGATGCCTTCTCAGGTCCAACATTCTTGGTTTTGGGATCTTTATTGCCTTGGTGCTGTTTAGATTTGCTTCTTTTTCTCCTATTGTTCTAAATGGAGAAATATTGCAAGAACTGAGACATCATGCAGTGCAACTCATATAATCTCAAAATATAAACAGTAAACTATCAATGTTCTTAAAATACTATACAAGTGATATCAGCGTAATGCAATTTACAGGCCATGCTGTGCTATACAACATGTTGCATCTGTTCAGCTGAATATATAAACTGTTTTGAATAAAAACTGAAGCCCCAAACTGGTTTTCCCCTTCCACATGAAATACTTGCATTGCAAAATGGTAACAGAGCCTCTGCTAAGATGCTGCTCAAAATGTTTGCAGTCAATTAAGACAAGCGATTCCTAAACATCCAGGGGACATCCATGCAGTAACACGGACAAACCCTTAAGGCATCACTCTGATCAGGTAGAAGGTGACCACAGAGGGTGCACGCTGGCCACTGCTGCTGTAGCTTTCCCAGCCATAAAGAGAAGCCTCCATGACAGTGACTCACAGGGCAGTCTCCTGGTAAACTCTGGCTTGGAGATACATAAGCATGAAGATCATATCCCAAATATATACTTGAAGGATCTGACTTGATAGGGTCACTAATGCACAACTCTTAATGGATGACTCCTATGCATAAGTTATTTTTACACCTGGCAGCAAAAACTCTAGCACTATAAGTGGCTGTGACTGTCCAGGACACAATTGTTTATTAAAAGTGTTTCTCCACATGGGCTGTTTTGGGATTCATTCTGTATTTGTTGAGGGTCTGGCTCCCATGTACACTCACGTGCTGTCCCAGAAATTCTCTCAGAACACTGGGCTAGAGAGGCAGCAACAGATGAACAAGATCAAAAATAACACACACATTTGCTTTCAAGTATTCTGACTGCAGGTGTGAATGAAGTCACCTATGTTAGCAAAGGCAGACAAAGTACTGGCCAAAATAAAAGTACTACATTCAACTACAGACAGCTAATAAATGCTTTGATTCTCAAGAGCAAGTTCTTACCTTCTTTTTTCCTGTCATATTCCATTCCTTTAGAACCTGAGTTGCGCTGCCTAGAGAAAGGAAAGATAAAACATTTCAACAGAAGTTCAGCTATGAAAAAGAAGTGAATTCAAGAACAGTTTCTAGTCTCCTAGCTGGGCAGCATTTCCATTTGTTATTGCAAATTCTCTTATGTGGGGAGAACAAAGTGAGAAACACTGTCTTTCTCCGTTTTAGTTATCCATTTTATTTGATTACACCACGTACAGTGGATGGGTTACTTGGCACTACTGCTTTTTATGGCCTTCATTCCACAAAGTGAGTAAGTGAGTGCCTAACTTAAAGCACTAGCATAAGCCCCAGGAAAATCAACAGTCAGATCTGCCTGAAAAGGGAAGCATCTCAGCACTCTAATATAAACACTGGGTAAACCAGATAGTCCACCCTGACTCTAGAGCTTCTGAAAGTTTTAAAGTCTTTTGGCATTTTTATCATATACATCCTATATGTTATCTGTCATATTCAGAAGACATAAGAACATAGAAATGAAGACTTAATTAGCATCCAAAAGAGTAATTTTGTGGACTCCTCCAGAAATTCTGCATCACACAAACACAGTAAGCTTAGGCCTGTCAGAAAAAAAAAATAGTTAAAATTGATATTGAAAAATTATTACAATTTGGTATACTTGAAATCCTGTCTGCCAGCCCTAATAGTTAGATATACATAGAATGGTTAGATAAATTTAAGGAAGAAAGCAAGCAAAGCCTTGGTCAGACCAGTGCCAGCTGCCATGTTACAAGAAAACTCTTCTGCATCTAGTTAACATCATTATTTTGTTCTCCTGGACCCTAAAGCTGAAAATAGATGCTCATGGTAAGCATGCAGTCGGAATCATCATCCAAACTACTATGGCAGTATCTGCCGCAATAATCCTTTTAATCACAACCAGGTTAAAGGTCTTCTGCTTGAATTTAAGAATCACTTTACCATCACTGCATAATTCTAGTAAATAGTCATTTATTATCCTTTCTGAATGGGTTTCATACTCAGACATTCTTCTCACTCATTTCAGTGAACTATTGACAATATTAGTATTAAGAAGTAATGCTGTTTTCAGACCACCACGAGTCATCAACTTGTATTCAGCCAAAGACGTGTGAGGTTTTCAACTGTATCATAATTATTTTTCTATTACAATAATCCAGATCCAAGATTATCTGGTGAGTCTATCACACACATTAGAAAAGATTATGTGTCTTGCTAGCAGTGCTAAGCCTAATTTGTTAAATTGTGAAAAAATGTGTATGGAATCCATCAAAGCCAATATTTTGTTTCCTAGTATGTGACAACTCAGACAGAAGGCCAAGAAAAATTCTATTGTGTGTATAACTATATATATATCTATATTTAGTAATACACATACATTGTTATGTACATATAAATACAATCCCCTCTCCTAAAGGTATGCTATCTTTTGACAGACACCACATTTCAGTATGAAGAAATAAACCCAGACATTTGCTGCCCATTTTACTGTGTTGCTGAAAATATGCGTTTTCACTTGACAGTTTTGTTAACTGTTTTCACAGTATCATCCAACACTCTTTTTGTGTTGGCTGGTGTTGTCTTAGCTTTGCTTCCCTCAGCTTCCCTGTGAATACTATGTACGGTAAGGGTTATTTTAGGGATTCACCCAGCTTACCCCAGTTTCCTCCTGTAAGTCCCAAAGATCTCATTTGAACCCACCAGTATATTTTCTTGAACACATCTACAAAGCAGCTGAACAGATCTTCTGATTATGCTTAATTAGGTAAACACTAAAATAGCAAATTTGAACCATTATTTTATTAACTGAAATTTCACATATAGAAGCAAATTCGTAAGAGACATCACCTATACGCCACTCCAGATACAAAGCAAGACAGGAGCTGATCTCAGGAAACTGAATTTGAACATTTCTTGATTCAGCATGCAGCACCTCTGAGAGAAGCATTAAAATGGAGGTGGTCAGCCTTTTCACTCAATGTGGCCATCCCCATGTTTTTCATTGCATGCGGCAATGCGTTCTCTGCAACTGTGATATTTCAATCTTAGCAATTTTTGTCATTCATGTGAAAAGATACTCAAAGTGCTAGATTCATTCTATCCACAGTGGTAGCTGAATGGACATGTGTCTTTTCTTATGTTGTTTCCAGACAGTAACAAATATTGGTTGCTTTCAAATGCTCACTTGCAAAGACTTCTGAACTCAAGGCACGATGATCATAAACTGGTGAAGTTCAAACAAAGATCATTTGAACTCAGGTTACAACAGCTTGCTTTTCTTCAAGATGTTGTTGCACTCTTGCAATGCTTGCTTTTGCCCCGTTTCTTCCTCATAGCAGATGATGACATGTGGCTACGAAAGCACTTCCCCCTTTGAGGAGCCATTGGAAACAACTCATAGACCACAAGCAAGCAATGGTAACTTAAGACAAAATAAATTGAATGAAAGGAACTTAATGATTAATTACAGAGCAACCCTCTACTACTTTCCCCAGGACACGTATTGCAGGAAAACACAATTATGGTTAATTAGATGCATCACATTTTCCTTTCTCTGTGTGCATGTGCACAAACTCTGATTTCCATACAGCTATTGGAATCTGATTGTCTATGCAGATGCCTGAATCAAGAGGCACCATATTGGATCTGATGGAAGAATTCTGATGCATTTATAAATAGACCAGTTTGCTTGCATCTACTTTTGCATATTAGTAAGTAATTCCTAGTACATCATGATGCTCTTTGGCTGATACATTTTACTAAATTGGTCCAAACAAAAGCCAAAACTATTCTGAAGTAAAATAGGTAAGAAATAAGCAACTTGGTGAGACTGGAAATCAACACTATAACACATTTTTAAGATATACAGGGCTCTTGGGGCCACTGAACTTTGAGTACCTTTTAAGCAGCCCCAAGCTACAAATATTTTGAGAGGATTTGCTCATGGTGTGCTATTATTCCTGCAAATGGTTTCTTACAGACTTCAGTGAAAGTTCAAAACACTTGCCATTATATATTTATCAGAAAAGTGTTGTTTAAATACAAGTGACCTTTCATTAGAGATGGTCTCATGATGCAAAACACAAACTCAGATCCAGATTTAGAATGGCTCGAACTTCCAATGGAGTCCTGGTTCAGCCATTATAAATGTCAAGCCTATTTGCAAAATTCAGATTGAGGTTTGAATGTCAATGTATGCATCAAGTTCAGGGGTTTAGGGACCTGGTTATCTGCTTCAGAACTATCCAAAGTTCTTATTAGTTACTGTATCTTCAATAGTGAATCATGTTCTGACATATTTACTTTAAAAAGCGTTAACTTTCACGCAGAATAAAGAAGGTCTGCAACAAAAATGGCACCAAAAAATGGTGAAGTCAGGTAGAACAGATAAATAGCCATGTCAGACTCATACTGTGAAGAAGCAAAGACACAGGCAGGAAGATCTATTATAAAAAAAAAAAAAAAACACAAAAACCCCCACACCTAACAAAGTCAAGAAGGTCTGCAAAAAAAATGGCACCAAAAAATGGTGAAGTCAGGTAGAACAGATAAATAGCCATGTCAGACTCATACTGTGAAGAAGCAAAGACACAGGCAGGAAGATCTATTATAAAAAAAAAAAAAAAACAAAAAACCCCACACTTTAAGTGTCACAATCGCCTGAATTTCAGCAGAACAACAGAATATACTTTGAGCCACTGGCAATTGAATACCTCATGCCTTAGTGAAAAAGGTACCCTGTACTCACCATCCATGAAAGCTTGAACAGCCTTGTCTACATTGTTATCAAACTGCTGCAACACCAGAACTATCTCATTATTGCTTTTGTTCGGAACAATTGATCGGATTGCATTGATCTGGAAGGAAAAAAAAGGAAGACAATAACATATGGGTTTATCATACTCCTGTAGATAACAAGGTACCTCTGTGCCAATGTACATTTTATATAAATGTATGTTATACATGATGTGCTTACAAGCATACAACAGTGTATCTGCGTGAAGCAATACCCATCCTCTCCCTGCCTGGCCCATGCAAATAACAAAAACAATTTCTGCAAGAGACAAGAATCATAGAACTGGTAGCCAGTAAGCCTGGAAGCAAATCCTACCCTCAGTCACAGTGGGAGAACTAGTTTAACTAAACTGACAGAATTTGGCCTTATACTCCTTTCCTAAACGTTCTGCTTGCTGCCATGAGACTTGACAAGACACATCACATATACAAACTTAAGGACTACACAACTACTTCAACAAGGCTGTTGCATGTCCTTGCTACATTGAAGTTATGATTAGTGGGGTTTTTGACATCTGGAAAAAAGTCATATTCATGAAAGTAGTCACAGGCTAAAAGAAAACTATAATTTTTAAAAGCTCTAGTGGCTGGTCAGCATAATTTCAGTTTGCTATTCTATATATATGTGACCAGGAAGCTTGTGTAACAAAATCCTGAACAAAGGACATGGGAAGCCAAATGCTTCCTTCAGGAAACTCTGCTGATGGATGAGGTGTTACACCCACAGATGATTCTGGCATGCCATGCTTCAATTTCACCGCATTTGCTATTGCTGTTTTGTCTTCAGTATCCACTTATATCTAATGAGAATTCAACACACTACGTTTCAAATAAAATACTCCTACTGGAATCATGTTGATGATTTATTTTCTCATGCCCATGTAATATAGCTGAAAGTAAATAGTTACATGAAACCTAATTACTATATTGTATTGATGCTAGACAAGCTTTACTAGGTAGTATCAAAATAAAAATACTTGGTTAAACATAATTAGAAAAACTAACAAAAGTCTATGGTAGTACTCTGAAAAAACAAGAGCATCAGTGCCAAAACCAGTCTAGTTGTTCCAAATCACCTTTTTGAGCTTCTGTGTCAAGCTATTCAGCATGTATTTACTATTAGAAACTTGTTATTGCACTGCAAATGTTTATTCCAGCACCCTTCTTTGCTCTCTTTCTGTGGGAGTACATCCTTGATTAGGGTGTACTTT